TGGGCAGGAAGGGGGAAAATTGCCCGGTATTCAAATGGTTAAAACAAGGCAGTTCACATTAAACCGACCCCACAGCCAAGACCCTGCAAGCCTGCCGTGTCCCTACCTGAGAGCCGTGGTCGTCCCTGTCTGCTGCTGATCGCTGGTCGTCCCTGCCATGAGGTTGAGTAGGTGTGGCCTGTGTTTTCTTGCCTTAACAGCCTCGGAGTCCCCGCCCCCCCCCCTCCACGCTGCAACTGACGGGCAGGAATTTCTGTGTGATCATCCAAACACAACCGCCCTGTAGTTGGCCAATCGCAGACTGAGCCTCGAGCTCAGCTTTCGCACCACACACCTGATTGGCTGCATCTCAAGCCAAAGTTAGATCAAGCCCCCCCCCCTTTTCCTGCCGCCTATCAGCTTTGAGTAGGCATGGGCTATATTTTTTCTTACCTTAACAGCCATGGAGTCCCGCCCCCTCCTCCACGCTGCAGCTGACAGGGAGGATTTTCTGTGTGATCATCCAAACACAACCGCCCTGTAGTTGGCCAATCGCAGACTGAGCCTCAAAAGCTCAGCTTTCGCACCACACGCACCTGATTGGTTGCATCTCAAGCCAAAGTTAGATCAAGCCCCACCCCCTTTTCCTGCCGCCTATCAGCTTTGAGTAGGCATGGGCTATATTTTTCTTACCTTAACAGCCATGGAGTCCCCGCCCCCTCCTCCACAGCTGCAGCTGACAGGGAGGAATTTCTGTGTGATCATCCAAACACAACTGCCCTGTAGTTGGCCAATCGCAGACTGAGCCTCAAGAGCTCAGCTTTCGCACCACACACCTGATTGGTTGCATCTCAAGCCAAAGTTAGATCAAGCCCCCACCCCCCTTTTCCTTGCCGCCTATCAGCATTGAGTAGGCATGGCCTATGTTTTCTTACCTTAACAGCCTCGGAGTCCCCGCCCCCTCCTCCACACTGCAACTGACAGGGAGGAATTTCTGTTTGATCACCCAAACACAACCGCCCTGTAGTTGGCCAATCGCAGACTGAGCCTCAAAAGCTCAGCTTTCGCACCACACACCTGATTGGTTGCATCTCAAGCCGAACTTAGATCAAGCCCCGCCCCCTTTTCCTGCCGCCTATCAGCATTGAGTAGGCATGGGCTATATTTTCTTACCTTAACAGCCATGGAGTCCCCGCCCCCCTCCTCCACGCTGCAGCTGACAGGGAGGAATTTCTGTATAATCATCCAAACACAACCGCCCTGTAGTTGGCCAATCGCAGACTGAGCCTCAAAAGCTCAGCTTTCGCACCACGCACCTGATTGGTTGCATCTCAAGCCGAACTTAGATCAAGCCCCGCCCCCTTTTCCTGCCGCCTATCAGCTTTGAGTAGGCATGGGCTATATTTTCTTACCTTAACAGCCATGGAGTCCCCGCCCCCTCCTCCACACTGCAGCTGACAGGGAGGAATTTCTGTGTGATCATCCAAACACAACCGCCCTGTAGTTGGCCAATCGCAGACTGAGCCTCAAAAGCTCAGCTTTCGCACCACACCTGATTGGTGCATCTCAAGCCAAAGTTAGATCAAGCCCCGCCCCCTTTTCTTGCCGCCTATCAGCATTGAGTAGGCATGGGCTATATTTTCTTACCTTAACAGCCATGGAGTCCCCGCCCCCTCCTCCACGCTGCAGCTGACAGGGGGAGGAATTTCTGTATGATCATCCAAACACAACTGCCCTGTAGTTGGCCAATCGCAGACTGAGCCTCAAAAGCTCAGCTTTCGCACCACGCACCTGATTGGTTGCATCTCAAGCCAAAGTTAGATCAAGCCCCACCCCCCCCCTTTTCCTGCCGCCTATCAGCTTTGAGTAGGCATGGGCTATATTTTCTTACCTTAACAGCCTCGGAGTCCCCGCCCCCTCCTCCACACTGCAGCTGACAGGGAGGAATTTCTGTGTGATCATCCAAACACAACCGCCCTGTAGTTGGCCAATCGCAGACTGAGCCTCAAAAAGCTCAGCTTTCGCACCACGCACCTGATTGGTTGCATCTCAAGCCGAACTTAGATCAAGCCCCACCCCCTTTTCCCGCCGCCTATCAGCTTTGAGTAGGCATGGGCTATATTTTCTTACCTTAACAGCCATGGAGTCCCCGCCCCCTCCTCCACAGTGCAGCTGACAGGGAGGAATTTTCTGTGTGCTCATCCAAACACAACTGCCCTGTAGTTGGCCAATCGCAGACTGAGCCTCAAAGAGCTCAGCTTTCACACCACGCACCTGATTGGTTGCATCTCAAGCCAAAGTTAGATCAAGCCCCACCCCCCCCTTTTCTTGCTGCCGCCTATCAGCATTGAGTAGGCATGGCCTATGTTTTTTCTTACCTTAACAGCCTCGGAGTCTCCGCCCCCTCCTCCACACTGCAACTGACAGGGAGGAATTTCTGTTTGATCACCCAAACACAACCGCCCTGTAGTTGGCCAATCGCAGACTGAGCCTCAAAAGCTCAGCTTTCGCACCACGCACCTGATTGGTTGCATCTCAAGCCGAACTTAGATCAAGCCCCGCCCCCTTTTCCTGCTGCATATCAGCTTTCAGTAGGTGTGGCACTTCCCATGAGGCATTGCTCCTCACACATTCACGTTCTCAAGACACTTTCTGACACGTATGGACAGTACTGAACTGTACGTGTGCTGCACTGTATGGTGACATGTATGGACGGTGTACTGAGCTGTACGTGTGCTGCACTGTGTATAGTGACATGAATGGACAGTGTACTGAGCTGTACGTGTGCTGCACTGTGTATAGTGACATGTATGGACAGTGTACTGAGCTGTACGTGTGCTGCACTGTGTATAGTGACATGTATGGACAGTGTACTGAGCTGTACGTGTGCTGCACTGTGTATAGTGACATGCATGGACAGTGTACTGAGCTGTACGTGTGCTGCACTGTGTATAGTGACATGCATGGACAGTGTACTGAGCTGTACGTGTGTGCTGCACTGTGTACGTGTGCTGCACTGTGTATAGTGCACAGTGTGTGTCAGAATGCCCGCTGCAGTCCCGCTATATCATGTGACCTACACTCCACTTTTTTTTTTTTTTTTTTTAACGAACTGTAATGTAACAAACAACCAATGGCTGCAGGCTGGAGCTCGACAGGAAACGTTACATTAAAGTTTATTTAAAAAACGTTTGAGTGGAGGTCACATGTTTCCTGTCGAATGGAGCTCCAGTTTGCAGCCATTTTTTTTACATTAAAGTTCATTTAAAGGAGTGGAGGTCACATGTTTCCTGTGGAAAGTGGAGCTCCAGTATGCAGCCAGACCCCCTTGTCTAATATTCGGCTATTGGACAGCGCGGCGGTGCAGACATTGCCAGCTATTGGTTATTATCCTGTGTCGTTGAAGGGGCGGGAGGAGTGATGTTTGGTCACATGATCGGGCTGTCCTGCAATGGAGGGGCGATGGTGCGGGGGGTGTGTGCTGCTTGCCGTGCCGTGTAGCAGGTTACCTAACGCTGGAGGATGGGGTCACCGTGTGTGATTGTACAGTCCGCTCCCCAACCACCGTGTGTGGAGGGGTGTGCCGGCCTAGTGTACATTGCATTGGATGTGTGTGGTGTGTTGATGATTGGAGCCATGTTGCTTTCCCAGGATTCCTCTGTAGCACACGGACTAGGACAACGTCTTTCTGTTAGTTTCGTGTCCCCATTCACAAAGCATCATTCAGCGTGCCGCCGCTTCCCTATTTCCTGGCTTTAACCACTTGCCTGCCGGGCGCTTTACCCCCTCCCCCTTACCAATGTTCAGCTTTCAGCGCCCTCATACTTTGACAATTGTGCGGTCATGCAACACTGGACCCAAACTACTTTTTTATCATTTTTTTTTTTAGACCGAGCTTTCTTTTGGTGGTATTTATTCACCACTGGGGGTTTTATTTTTTGATAAACTAAAAAGGAGCACAAATTTTGAGGGGAAAAATAGTTTTTTTTAGTTTCTATTAAAATGTTTTGTAAACAAGTAATTTTTCTCCTTCACTGATGGGCACTTAGGTGGCACTGATTCAACTGTTGGGCACTATTGGCTGCACTGCACTGGGGGGCTACACTAATCACCAGGACACGGATTATCAGTGCCCTGATGATCAGTGTAGATGTTCCCCTGCGACATGCCGCATACCAGCTCTCCTCATGCGCTGTCAGCGGAAGGGGAGGACTACTGATAACCCATTTCCTATTTACCCGTGATCAGCTGTGATTGGACGCAACTGGTCGCATGGTAAAAGCATCTGTGATTGGCCCATTCCTTAGTCATGTGATCAGCTGTGTCCAAAGGACACAGCGATCACAGATCGTGCGTGCGGGGTGTGGTTCTGGGTGGACGTCCATGGATGCCCTCCCAGAACTAGCCAACCGCATTGTAGATGGCTTTTGGCTATAGCATGGTTGGGAACTGGTTATGGAAACGAAACCACTTGCCCTTCGGAAGATTTATCCCCAACCCCCCCCCCCCCCCCCCAATCCTGCCCTAGGCCATTGTTTGCTATACGGCGCTGCGCTACTTCAAATGACAGTTGTGCGGTCATGCAACACTGCATACAAATGGAATTTTTATATCCTTTTTTTCACACACCGCTTTCTTTTGGTGGTATTTGATCATCGCTGGGTTTATTTTTTTTTATAAACTGAACAATGACCAAAATTAAAAAAGAAGGTTTTTGCTATAAAACATATCCCATAAAAAAATTGGGGGAAAAAATTCTTAATTTAGGCCAAAATATATTCTGCTACATGTCTTTGGTTAACAAAAATCCCAATAAGTGTATATTGATTGGTTTGCATGAAAGTTATAGTGTCTACAAATGGTGATATATATATCTTGGAGTATTAATTAACCTCTTCCTTACCACGGTATAGCCGAAAGACGGCTACAGCGCGGTTGTCTAGTTCTGGGACGACGCCCATGGATGTCATTCCAGAACACGCCCCCATACGGACACAGCTGATCATGTGATAAGGTAAACGGCCAATCACAGCAGCCTTTTAGCATGTGATCAGCTGCGTCCAATGACACAGTAGATCACCAGGTAAATACAGTTGTCGATTATCGGCTGCACTTTCCTCACATTGTCACAGCATGAGGAAAGTACTGCCGATAACCGGAAAGTGATCGGCACTGATGATCAAGGCCCATCAGTGACACCCAGCAGTGACCTAGCAGTGCCACCCACCTGTGCCCTGCAGTGCCGCCTATCAGTGTAGCCTGTCAATGCCGCCTCTCAGTGCCTCCTATCAGTGCCACCTCATTATCGCACATCAGTGAAGGAGAAAAAATTACCTGTTTGCAATATTTTATAATAGAAACAAGGCCGTTCAGCTCAAACAAGGTCGTTCAGATCAATGGCAGTTCAGATTAAACAAGGCAGTTCAGCTCAAAAGGCAGTTCAAAACAAGGCAGTTCAGCTCAAACAAGGCAGTTCAGCTCAAACAAGGCAGTTCAGCAGTTCAGCTCAAACAAGGCAAGTTCAGATTGAACAAGGCAGTTCAGATTAACCACTAGCCTACAGGGCACTTATACCCCCTTCCTGCCAGGCCAAATTCCAGCTTCCAGTGCTGTCGCACTTTGAATGACAACAATTCGCGGTCATGCAACACTTTACCCATATGAAATTTTTATCATTTTTTTGTGACAGAGCTTTCTTTTGGTGGTATTTAATCACCTCAGAGTTTTTTTTTTTTTTTTCTTAAACAAACCAAAAACCACTGAAAATTTTTTGTTAAAAAAATTTTGTAAATAAGTGATTTTTCTCCTTCACTGATGTGCGCTAATGAGGCTGCACTGTTGGGCACTGATAGGTGGCACTGATGGGCATTGACAGGCATCACTGATACATGGCACTGTTAGGCGGCACTGACTGGCACTTATAGGTTGCACTGACTGGCAGCACTGATGAGGTGGCACTGATTGGCATTGATAGGTGGCACTGACTGGCACTGATGGATGACACTGAAAGGCAGGTCATATGGGCACTGATATGTGGCATTGATGTGGCACTGATAGGCACTGGCATGTGGCACTGATCGACACAGACAGCTGGCACTGCTGGGGCTACACTGATCATCAGTGCCTTGATGAGCAGTGTACATGTCCCCTCCGTGGAAAGCCGATTATCGTCTCTCCTCTCCTCTCAAGCTGTCAGCGTGACAGCTCGAGAGGAGAGAAATGCCGATAACCGCCATTTCTGTGTTTACATGTGATCAGCTGTGATTGGACACAGCTGATCACATGATCGAGCCGACATCTTCGGCTCTTTCCATGATCGGTGATCCACTGTGTCCGAGGCTCCCTGAGCCACGCATGCGCGGTGAGAATGGGAGGACGTCATATGACGTCCTCTCAGAAAGAGAGAACCACCTTGCACCCATCATTGGACTATATGGCGGGCGGGAGTTGGTTAAACAAGGCAGTTCAGCTCAAAGGCAGTTCATATTAAACAAGGCAGTTTAGCTCAACGGCAGTTCAGCTCAATGGCAGTTCACATAAAACACGGCAGTTCACATCAAACACGGCAGTTCACATTAACCACCGCCTGCCCGCCCGCCATAGAGTAATATGACGGGCTCAAGGTGGTGGTTCTCTTGTTCTGGGAGACTTCATATGACGTCCTCCCATTCTCACTGCGCATGCGCGGCTAAGGGAACGTGCAGTGCGGCGATCGGATCACCAATCACGGAAAGAGCTGAAGATGTCGGCTCAGTCATGTGATCAGCTGTGTCCAATCACAGCTGATCACATGTAAACAGGGAAATGCCGGTTATCGGCATTTCTCTCCTGTCCTGTCGAGCTGTCACGCTGACAGCTCGAGAGGAGAGGACAGCCGGTAATCGGCTTTCAGCGGAGGGGACATGTACACTGATCATCAGGGCACTGATGATCAGTGTGCCCTGATGATCAGTGCCACCTGTCAGTGTCCATCATTGCCTTATGTCAGTGTCTCGTACCAGTGTCACATCAATGCCACATATCAGTGCCCATCTGAGCTGCCTTTCAGTGTCACCCATCAGTGCCAGTCAGTGCCGCCTGTAGCTGGCCAGCTAAGACCAGTCCTAGGTTGTTAATATGGTTCACATATATGTGTATACCAAACCTGCCAATAACCTCAGTACAGTGTATATTGTGCATATGTTAAAGCCAAAAGCAGAATCATTGCTGTGATTTATGTCTTTGATTGTTATATGACATTTATATATTCATTGTGTTAGCAGAAGCAGAAAAGGAAAATATGCCTTTAAGGTTAGTTAAAGATGAGCCAATCACAGACAGCCTCACACTGTACAGAGCCTTAACCAATCCCAGCCAGTTTCACATCTATGCCTGTGTAAAACTCCCTGCTAGGATTTTCTAGAGACACATGCTCACCAGACAGAAGAGGAAACAGACAGTTCCAATCAGAAAAGCTTTATGGAGGCAGAGAAGGCCAAATAGGTATTTAATGCACTTGTGTGTTCCTCTGTTGTTTAGTAATGCAGGTAGATCTGTATGTAAAAACTGTTGTATGTGTTTACTTGTAGTTCCACCGAACTTACGAATTAAACGAATCAAGTCACTGTAGAGTAATCATAATCCAATTGAATCTATCGAATCTATCGAGATAAGCTATTGAATCAACCAATGTAATACAAATTAAACCATTGTAATATGAAAGAAACAAGCCATTGTAAGCAGTTATATGAAGAAGATTGAAGTTATTAAAGAAGTTAACTAAAGTATTCGGTGTGCTCTTTAAACCTACTGCATCCATAGAGCGGCATTGGAGGAATTACAGAGTAAAGTCAGTCTACTCAAACAAAGAAACAGCAATTGCATAATTTTTCTAATGCCACAGCGCACTAGGCACCAAAGGGTGCTGCGCCTGCCACACCGCCTATCAGTGTGCATGAGTGCCACCTATCAGTGCCAGTCTGTGCCGCCTATCAGTGCCGCATATCAGTGCTGCCTATCAGTGCCCATCAGTGATGCCTGTCAATGCCCATCAGTGCCACCTACCAGTGCCTCCTCATCAGTGCAGCCTATCAGTGCCCATCAGTGCAGCCTCATTAGCACACATCATTGAAGAAGAAAAATCACTTATTTACAATATTTTATAACAAAAACTAAGAAAAAACATTTTTTTCAAAAAATTTTCAGTGGTTTTTGGTTTAAGAAAAAATAAAAAACCCAGAGGTGATTACATACCACCAAAATAAAGCTCTATCTGTCACAAAGAAAAATGATGAAAATTTCATATGGGTACAATGTTGCATGACTGCGCAATTGTCAAAGTGCGACAGCGCTGAAAGCTGGAAATTGGCCTGGGCAGGAAGGGGGTATAAGTGCCCTGTAGGCTAGTGGTTCAACAAGGCAGTTCACATTAAACAAGGCAATTCAGATTAAACAGACCCTTATCAAAAAAGGGCGACTCGGCTTCCGTAAGTTCCCGCCCCTTCCTGTAGTGACTATTCGCTTTCTTCTCTCTAAGCGCCGCACGCATTGATGTAGGAAGACATGAAAGTGGGCGCAATTTGTTTTCTTACACAGAGCTCACCCAAACCCAACCGCCCTGTAGTTGGCCAATCGCAAACTGAGCCTCGAGCTCAGCTTTCACGCTACGCACCTGATTGGCTGCCTCTCAAGCCGAACTTAGATCAAGCCCTGCCCCCTTTTCTGCCCCATATCAGCTTTGAGTAGGCGTGGCACTTCCCATGAGGCATTGCTCCTCACACATTCACATGTTTTCAGACACTTTCTGACATGTATGGACAGTACTGAACTGTACGTGTGCTGCACTGTGTATAGTGACATGCATGGACATGCATGGACAGTGTACTGAGTGTACTGTGCTGCACTGTGTACATGCATGTGTACTGAGCTGTACGTGCTGCACTGTGTATAGTGACATGCATGGACAGTGTACTGAGCTGTACGTGTGCTGCACTGTGTATAGTGACATGCATGCATGGACAGTGTACTGTGTACTGAGCTGTACATGTGAGCTGTACGTGTGCTGCACTGTGTATAGTGACATGCACAGTGTACAGTGTACGTGTGCTGCACTGTGTATAGTGACATGCATGGACAGTGTACTGAGCTGTACGTGAGCTGTACGTGTGCTGCACTGTGTATGTGTGTATAGTGCACATGCATGGACAGTGTACTGAGCTGTACGTGTGCTGCACTGTGTATAGTGACATGCATGCAGAATGTCCGCCGCAGTCCCGCTATAAGTCGCTGATCGCCGCCATTACTAGTTTATAAAACCATTAAAAATCCAGTACATATCCCGCCATCTGTCAGTGGACTGTGTACTGAGCTGTACTGTGGTGCTGCACAGTGGTACTATAACTTTCATGTAAACCAATTCATTTACACGTATTAGGATATTTTTTAGCAAAGACATGTCGCAGAATACATTTTGGCCTAAATTTATGACGAAATTAGATTTTTTTTACTGGACATGTTTTATAGCAAAAAGTCAAAAATATCATTTGTTTTTCAAAATTGTCGGTCTTTTTTTTTTTATAGTGCAAAATTTAGAAAACACACAGGTGATCAAATACAACCAAAAGAAAGCTGTATTTGTGGGGAAAAAAAAGGACACAGCGTTGCATGACCGCGCAATTGTCAGTCAAAGTAACACAACACTGTATCACAAAAAATGGCCTGATCAGGAAGGGGGGGGGGGGGGGTAAATCTCTGGAGGACAAGTGGGTGAGATCAGTGCAGCCTGAGTTTGATAGAAAGCCATTCCCCAGCCCTGGAGAGCCTCTACTACAGGAATAAAGTGACAGCACAGTCATCCCGCCATCATCTGCACGATTTCTAATGCTGCGGACACACACAAGTCAATTGGCAGAAGATCGATCCTGTGGAAGATCTGCACATACACGTCACATCCTGTCCCCATCGCCCACAGATTGCAGATCATGACCGGGAACATCCATTCTGGCCCAGTGATTCCTCCCATTAGAACCGCCTTCGCTGAACGGCGGACTGGATCCGATCCTATTGACAGCCCAGTCCGAATCGCTAGTTTTCACCTTCTGCAGGGAGAACCATACAGGGCGGATCGGTCCCAGTCCTTTTCCCACCTCCTCAATCTCCTCCTTCATACACCCATAGACTAGATTAATCCCGCCATCCGTAGCTCCGCCTACTTGTGGAGACTTAACCACTTGACCACTTGCCTGCCGGACGCTTTACCCCCTCCCCCTTACCAATGTTCAGCTTTCAGCGCCCTCATACTTTGACAATTGTGCGGTCATGCAACACTGGACCCAAACTACTTTTTTATCATTTTTTTTAGACCGAGCTTTCTTTTGGTGGTATTTATTCACCACTGGGGTTTTATTTTTTGATAAACTAAAAAAGACCACAAATTTTGAGGGGAAAAATCGTTTTTTCTTAGTTTCTAATAAAATGTTTTGTAAACAAGTAATTTTTCTCCTTCACTGATGGGCACTGTTAGGTGGCACTGATTCAACTGTTGGGCACTATTGGCTGCACTGCTGGGGCTACACTAATCACCAGGACACCTACTATCAGTGCCCTGATGATCAGTGTAGATGTTCCCCTGCGACATGCCGCATACCAGCTCTCCTCATGCGCTGTCAGCGGAAGGAGAGGACTACTGATAACCACCATTTCCTATTTACCCGGTGATCAGCTGTGATTGGACGCAACTGGTCACATGGTAAAAGCATCTGTGATTGGCCCATTCCTTAGTCATGTGATCAGCTGTGTCCAAAGGACACAGCGATCACAGATCGTGCACGCGGGGTGTTGTTCTGGGTGGACCTCCATGGATGCCCTCCCAGAACTAGCCAACCGCGCTGTAGCTGTTGTTTTTGGCTATAGCATGGTTGGTAACTGGTTAATATCATGCCCAGCTTTCCCTTCTATGGAAACAAAACCACGTGCCCTTCGGAAGATTTACCCCCAACCCCTCACCCAATCCTGCCCAGGCCATTGTTTGCTATATGGCGCTGCAATACTTTCATATGGGTACAGTGTTGCATGACCGCAAAATTGTCAAAGTGTGACAACGCTGCAAGCTGAAAATTGGCCTGGGCAGGAAGGGGCCATAAGTGCCCAGTAGACAAGTGGTTAATTTTTTATACTAGTAATGGCGGTAATCAGCGACTTTGGTGGGCATTCTGGCACTGGGTGAGAATCAACTGCCACTGACATTTCCAATGACACTAATACAGAAACCAATGCTAATAAAAAGCACTAATACACTGGGCAGGAAGGGGTTAATATCCGGGCGATCAAAGGGTTAGCTGTGTACTGTTTTGTGCTTACTGTGTGTTGTTTTATTAGGGGCCGTGCTGGTTTTTATCTCCATGCTTTGATTGGGACTGCCTGTTTGCTGGATGGGGACTGTCTCTGTGCTGGATTTTGGGGATGTCTCTGCTGGATTGGGCCATCTCTTTGCGGGATTGTAATGAAATTGCCATGTGAAGGAAGGTAGGGTGAACATTAGGGTGACCAAATCACAGCTAAGCACAAAAAAAAAAAACCCTGAATGAATCGATGTCATTCAGGTAAATGCTTGCTTATAGCAAAGTAATTCTTTGCTATAAGCAAATTGTGTAAAAAAATAAAAATAAAAAAATACTGATCACTTCCCCAAAGTAGTACAATGTTACTAAAGTAACATTGTACTACTTTAGTCATAGTGAAATATATAAAAAAAAATGTTTAAAAAAAAAAAACAAAATTAATAAAAAATAATAAAAAAAAATAAAAAAAAAATATATATTTTTTTTTTACTGTCACCACTCAGTGTCCCTGATCACCGCCATGCCAGTTATATGATGACGCTGTACTGCACTGGTGACGTATGTAAAAAAAAAATAGTGAAACTGGAAATTGGCCTGGGCAGAAAGGGGGTATAAGTGCCCTGTAGGCTAGCGGTTAACCAATACACGCCTGGCCAATAGCCAAAAGGCGGCCGGCAAAATCTATTGGATTTCCGGGTTGGGACGCCAAATGGCGTCCTCCCGCA